CCCCAAAACCCCAAAACCCCAAAACCCCAGCACGGTATATAAGGCAAAATTAAAGGAAGTAAAATGATTAAGTTCAAATTATTAGATTTTATCATTCCTCAACTGCTTCAAGTTCATGAAGGTATTTCTTGAAGTAGTTTGCGATTTTTTCAATGTCCTCATTGGTAGAGGATTGATTAAAGCTTGGTGCTGGATATGAGTCAATAACTTTTCCAAAGATGTTCTCAGTGATAAATCCATACTTGAAGTCGGAGATGAGGCCGTCGTGCTTGACATTTTCAAAAGTGAAGTCAGTGCAAGGATTGGTCTCGTTACATCTAACAATGCCTGGTAAGAACCCTCCAACTGAATGAATATTCCTTAAAGTTATGTTTCTCATTGTTATTCTAGGTTGGGTCTCGCATTCTTTAGAAATTGGATAAAGCATGCAACCTGGACCACGGCCATCTGGCTACTTTTATTGTTGAGGGCCAATATAAATATTCCACCATACAGGAGTAAAGATCTTTAAGTTTTCATATAAAATATTTTCAATGACTCCATCTCCTACTGTTCCTGGATTTGACTTGATATAGACTGCTTTGATTGGGAACCAGAAATCAACATTTTTGAAAGTCACGTTTCTAACACAAGAATGGTGTTAATTAGGAGGTACTGAGCCAATAGTCATTCCTAAGCCCATCCATGTAGTAATATTTTCAGCTCTAATGTTCTCAGAACACTTTGCAATTATACGATCCCCATGAGATGGTTTGATTGCAATAGAATCATCATAACTGGTTATATTAACATTTCTGATAAGAATATTACTACCAGAAGGATCAATACCATCAGTATTCAAAGGGAATGTTGGAATTCCAAACTTGAAGTTATATTTTCCATATTTTATTGCAAGTTTCTTTTGCTATAAAACATCAACTCTGATCTCTAGGTCTTAAATAAGGAAATTATTAATATCCTACAAATACATATGGAATCTTGGAGAATTTAAAAACCTGACTCCTTCTATTATGCAATTCTACACCCGATTCATTCCAAGAATTTAAGGTCTGCTGAATTTATTTGCAACAATGTATTCTCTCATCCACCACCAATAGCCTTGGCCATCAAAAGTTCCCTCTCCTCTGATATGAATGTCTTCAGAATCATTGATATGAATAAAATCTAGCACAGTTTTACCATCATTTGGCCAGTTCTTATTATCATCAGATAGATACACATACCCATCAATGGTGAAGGTTATATTCTTAAGATTGTTAAGTTAAGTAGGCATAAGTGTAAAGAATTAGCCTTTTTCTTTGGGGATGTAAACTTCTCTGTCAGTTTCAGAGCTGTTTGCTGCTATCACTGCATCCAAAAAGGCTTAGGCATTCTTAAACGCAGTTGCAGTGTCAGATTGATTATGGATAGCTCCATGATCAATGATATTGTGTCTAGCATCCACGTAGCTAGCAATGCCCAAGAGTGAAATCAAGGGTAACAGGATCCTTCTCATAATTAATATTATTATATTAGGTTTTAGATTTATAGTTCTATTAATAAATCAGAATTCTATTGATTATATATTTTATCTTAATAGAGCAATTCCCCTACCAAATTTACGTCATGGGGTTTTGGGGTTTTGGGGTTTTGGGG